GTCATTTTGATATATTCCACTTTACCTAATTGTTGCAGATTTTCTCCCACCCCGTCACGACCTAGGCCTGCCCTGATAGCGGTGCCCTCTTTAAGCTGAAGGATGACGCTCTCTGGCTCTGAGCTAAAATTGCACAGGCATTGTTTGAGCAATATCCCAGATATATCAAGGTGACCCTGGTCAGTGCGGCCACGTGTGACTGTTGCGCTTCAGGATCAACAAATTTGTCTTGTCCATCTGAGAAACAGATTTTGGCTGCGACTTCTGTGGAAATGCACAACACAACAGTGACTGGAAGGACAGTAAGGGTCCATTTCGGTTGGATGCGGGACCTTCTTGTTTCACCTTTTGCTTACGGCTTACACAGATGCAGAAAACTGCACACTTTCTTTGTTGATCAAACTGGATGTTTTCAAGATGACAAAAACATAGTGTTTTTATAGTTTGCTCTAAAGATATAATGAAAAATTTGCTGGTGCCTGTGTTTAGTTGTTGTTCTTGTAAGACACAGAGAGAATAGTGGTTTGGACTTGTCATGATTATCTGTGTATAAATTAAAATATTGAACTATAGTGACACAACAGTGAAATGCAAGAGCCAGTTTATCCTTTATTCATCGTTGAACGATGTTCCTTTTTCTGAAACTTTTAGGTCCAGCTGGGCTTTATGTGGCATAGATCCACCAGGATTATCTTGCAGTAAACAGTTAAAAGTCCCTTGCTTGGTCTTTAAGAAGTCAAGGAAGAAAGTAACAAAACCTTTTGATGTCCCAAATTTCACAGGCATAAAGGGAGCAGAGCATAAGGGCGCATGAGCCATTCTCCCACTGAGACAAAAATGCACTATAAAGAAAGGCATGTTGTAGGCCTTCCTTCTTTAACTAAATTGGACGAATAATAATTGTAAACATCATCTAAATCCTTGGGAATTCATACAAATGACATTGATATGGAGAGGGATGTTGGGCAAAAAGTACATATTGCATTTGGTCTTAGTTCACCATCATTTAATTGTACATCACCCAAGCCAAGTGTTACATGCCATCAATCTCAATCAATCAATTAGGCAACTAAACAAGCCACGCTCAGGCATTCGCTCACTCTTAATTTCCCCATTGTGCTAACTACACTTACACATGTCATCCTGTATTAATATTGAACTTTTAAATGAGATTAGTGACGTCTAACTGAAACATAATCCTTCTATAGTCGTGCCATAATGATACCTGGACAGCTATGAATGGCAAATAGAGCCAAATGGATTTTTTTAGGGTCAAGTAATTTTTCTAAAATTAAGTTATACAACGAAAAATAGAGAAATAAATGCTGTGAATTTTTTTCCAAATCTAACGTGTTTCACAAGAAAGGGAACGGGAAATTTAAAATCTACACACAGCTATTTGATGTTCCCTGAGAGAAGCATTATATTTCGATGATTGTATGAGTAAGGGAGAAAAGTGGCTGGTTTCGAAGGTTAAACTACTCCCATTAAAGTTTGAATAATGTTATTGACCTTTACCTGAGATGGATCACTTAAAGTAATGGGAAATGGCGGCACTGACAGAATTATGATGACAGAATAGCTTATGGTTATGAATTAGGTCTTGTTCCTCAAAATGCCTATCAATTTGTCATATCACTAACATCCACGTACTCAGCTGGAAACCTTAACAGGGGCCCCCAAGCCTGTCGGTGTCAGTCATTGTGTCATTTAAAGCGTTTCTCACCTCTATCTGTACCACAGCACTTGTGCCAGTCGCTGATGGGAGCTTAGATTGCTGCCAATCACCCACATCGACTCCACACTGGTGCAGTGTTTTCTGCCTCAGCTCAAGAGCCGTTTTCTTTGGAATTTTGACAGTATCAGTCGATCAGGGTGAAGCAAACTGGTTGAATCCAGCTGATGTATTCAGCACATTAAACAGACAGAGTAAATATGACAACTAATGCAAGTTTACTCATTGTGTTCCGTCTCAGAGTGGGACAAAATGACAAAGTAAAACCACATTTTTTCATAAAGCCACAGCAGAACATCCCTTCAAACATTGATATCTTTTTATTAAGACAAGTACTCATCTGATTTTTTTGTTCTTTTTGTAAAAATGTTGGTGTGAGCCAATACAAAATATGCATGGTCATATGAGAAACATCCTCTTCACTACACAAAAGGAAAAAAATGTTACCTGGGAACAAAGAGAAATTTAAGATCCAACAATAAAATCAACCATTTGGGTTTATAACCCCCCCATTCCGACCCCCTCCCCCCTCCCCCCCCCCCCCCCCCCCTCCACCCTCCCCACATTAAACATGAGTTTCATTCAAATACCCAAGACATTACAGATCATTAATAAAATTCATGTCACAGTAAATACATCACCTTCATTTATGAGAAAATATGCATGACTGGACTGAATGCAAAGAGTTGCTTGATTGACTGTCTGTGGTCACATCCTACAATTACTGAACAACTGATACTGAATGAGCAAACTGTTACAGTGGAGAGAAAGTCTCATGAACATTTTTGTGGTTTCATTAACACTGACTGTACATAATTTTTGTCTTCTTAACAAATCTAGTATTCTTTGTGAACTAGGTCTATGCAAAATAATATTTAACATTTACTGTAACAGTGCATCATATTAAGAACACGTTAACATGTACAACTCAGAAAAAACATGTACATCTTGTGATTTCTTTACGTTTTCAATAGCTGTTGTACTACAGTATATACTCGGGGCTTAAAATTTGCATTCTACCTGAGATGCAAAAACACAACTATAAACACTCATGAACCTGAGAGAGTGGCAAAAATGAAAAACATATAAAACATAATCTAAATAAATCGATGATTGCAATACTATGTCTTTCCCATTGTTGCATGTTCATTAATTCGAAAGCAACATTTAGAGATGAATATCAAAGCCCAGAAAAAAATGTGTCATGCACATAACTGCTTCCATGACCCTGCAACAATCCTAAAAAATTGCTTTTATTGTAGCTTATTTTAGCGTTTAGCACTGTTTTTCTCGCTGAATATCCTCTTTAACCTTAACACTGGACAAAATAAAAAACTAATCAAAAATTTTAAAAGTACTGTGAAAATGGAAAAATAATTCTGGGCAATTTTTTTTACTCATGGCAATCAACCTTCTCATAAATGGAAGCTGCCACACGATAATAGAAAAGAAAGAAATCTTTTTTGAATTTTTTTTAAAATTAATTTTATTTGGACCTTTAATTAACTCTTTTTTATGCTGAACATATTTAAGTGGGATGCAAGCCCATGGGTGCATGAACACAGACAACTAGACCGTAAGTTTGGAAGGACAGATATACGAGGTGTACTATAAGAGTGTACATGAAGGTACTGTACGATATAAACCACATGCCTCAAAATCAGAAGAAGGCACCACATTAAGTCCTTCAGTCTTTTCCTTTACGGTGATGAATAATGGAACATTTGTTTAAGGCAGTGGCTATCTTTCAGCGTTTTTTAATGTGATCTACTAAAACAGATTGCCTTTTTTCTTCTCCAGGTAATACAGTGAAGTTACTTTCTAATTACTAAATAAGTTTTGTTCTCCTAGTTGACAGTCTGAAAGATTTAGAGCAGTTATAGAGTGCACATAATTAATGTGTGAAAATTAATGTAAAATAAGTCACTTAAAAATCAATAAGGAGCTGAATGTGTAGCACATAACACCATTTCTGCAAAGGTTTAAGAATGCAAGATAAGTCTGAGACGTTAGAAGGGCCGTTGGGCTTACAAATAATAAAAAAACAGCAAAAAACAAACAAAAACAAAACATCATTGCACAAGGCTAGAAAATATGACAGATTCTTGCAAATTTAATTTTTGCTAATAGGTAAGGGCAAATTGATTATTCATGCCAGGAGTTGGGAATGTTTTTTTTTTAAAGAATCCACATATGCGTGTTGAGGTGGATATACATCACTGAAAGTAAACATTAAAAGTTTAGCACTCTTTCTTCTCTTTGACACAGCACAAACAAATACAAGCTAAAATCCCCCAAAATATATCAAAGAATATTTCTCAGTCAAATCATTTAATTGGTGTAAGACCAGATATAAAATAAATTCATTTGGCGATTTATTCAGCTTGTATTTTACAAATAATATTTACAAAATCATATACTTATCATTTTTGGTCCTGGGTCAGAATGAAACTGGGATAAAATTATAAGAATTGAGCATTTTGATGGTGACTGATGCATCACCAGTAATCTTTTTAAGACATCATAGTTTACTTATGCCAATAAGGGCCAACAACATGGCTGTTATTAGATTAAGAAAAAATTCGGACTGATTGGGCTGACTATCCAGCCTTACCCCTTTTTCAAAGTAAACTAAAACATCTATAAACATCTGTAAATATCAGGCCAGTTGAGTCATTATTTCCAGTCTTAATGTGAAGCTAAGTGGCTGCCAACTATAGTTTTATATGTATTATTTATTGTTCAGACCTGACAGTGGTGTCAACGGTTTCCAACTATGAGCAAAAAAAGGTGTTTCTCAAAATGTTTATACTTGAAGTTCTCAGTCACAAGTTCATGAAAAACAGCAAAACAAGTGCACTGCTATGATTTCCACTGAAAAATGTTTTACCCACATATCACAGCATATTTATGGCATTGTAATGTTGAGATGTCTAAAACTGAGTTCCACACCGATACTACTGATCTCACATCTGCACGAAGGCCACCAGCGTTTACAGTTATTTAAGACGATACTTGTGATTCCACCAGATGTGCTGCAGCGGGTTTGTTGCAGATCTCTGCTTTGCTAAAATTACAGCATGGTCTATTGTTAAGAAATGCCACAGCGAACTGAACACAACAGATAAACTGGAGAGGGAGTCAATTACAGTGAGAGAATACAGAATACAATTTTTCTCATTAACCATCTTGTATAGACTTTCATTTCTGTATTACTACATAAATACAGTATAACTATAAGCATTTAACCGAAAGTCAGTGGGTCTGAGATGAACTTTTTTTTTTTTTTCAAACAAGTGATGTTTTGTGACAACAGATCCATTTTAAGAGGACAGAACAAAAAATAGAAATTGATTACCGAATTGTTGGGATGTTTGAGCAGATGAGAAGCTTGGCCTGTGTGGCATGAAGCAATTGGAGAATGTAATATGACTACATTAATTATGAAATGTTACAAACTTACTCCCAAAGGAACCCTGGATATAAACATTCTAACTTAACCACCACAGAATCTGTCGTTCTCTGTGGTTTGATGTAAAGTTACACGTGAAATAACTACTTTGCTTCTTTGAGCAAATACATTCTAAGATGAGTGTGGTTAATCACAATGGTCACAACCTTAAAGTCAGCCTAGTAAACCTTAAAATGAAGGGGCTGAGTGAACTGTGATGGAAAATGTCAAAACCAATCAGGCCTGCATATAAATGTGATGAACTTGCAGGCACTGGAGGACTTTAACCCACACGGGAAGCGTGCTTTTACACTGTGTTCTATTCATAAATCTCCGGTGATGATCAAAAAACAAGCAAACAAAACAAAACAAACAAACCAACAAAAGCAAAAAAGGGGGCGGATGAGCTCACTTCTCATATCTGGTTACATTAGCTAAAAGCTAGCTGCAGCACACATAGACAAACACCAGACCCATTTAATCTCCTCTGAAAGCCAAAAGCAACAACCGATTAAGTGGTGTACAGGATGAACAATCCAATCCAACAAGCATGTGAAAGGAAAACAACAAAACAAACAAAAGAAATAGAACAAGGCACAAAATTGTCTGTAAAATAATTGAACTGTACAGAGTAGGGCCCAGCAGTCCAGGAAGGGTCGGATAGGAGACTCAGCAACATTCTCTTCTCACCACATGGCCATGCTAGTCCTACTTTCCACATTCTTCCTTCCTCTCTTTCTTTTAAAAGCTTTCCCTCTTCACCCCAAAGCCATCTCCAATCAAAACCGGTCAAGAGTTGGACATAATGCTCCCACAGCACCACAAGCCACGCCATCCCCCCCCACCCGTCTTTCCTGGCCTGTCAAGTTTAGATATAATACTCCTTCTTCTCATCTGTGTTGTTGTGTCCCCCCTCCGCGTTAATGATGGCTGTATCTGCGTCAGCAGCATCGTCGGCCCCTTTGGCTTCGTGTGTGAAGTAAGTTCCTGCAAGAGAGTTTAGAGCAATCAGTGACCTGCGTCCTGGACGTTTCTTGCTTTGAAAAGCACTCGAATGGCACGCACTCGAGTCAAATGTGGTCGTTACAAGGACAATGACAGCGCACTTGCTTTACCTTTGTGTCTAGCGAAGTATCGACCCAGAACGATGAGCGCACAGAGGATTGCAAACATCACCACGGCAACCACGCCTCCAATGACAGCATGATCAATTTTTTGTGGTGCCCCCTCACCGGCTCGTGAGTCTGAAAAGAAGACAGAGGCAAAAATGAAATATTCATAGTTATCATACCATATCACCAAGAATCCGAACTTCAGTTCAGTCCACGCTTAAACGGGTTCCCCTGGAAACTCTGATCATTAATTTGCTCTTTTTTTATAAGACTTCTGACATGACCTCATCTAGTAAAAGGCTGACCACCATAGATCCCATTGATCTTGCTTTGCTTTTGTAAGAAAGCTTATTGAATTGCATTTTTACTTGATATTTATTTAGTGTTCTACAAATATATTTATCTAAAAAAGATATAGCTAAAAAAAAAAAAATAAAGCCTAAGGGGTTCACATATTTCTACACAGTCTATCAGTGTGTACACAGTGTGTATGCAGTCTGACACATCAGCATCTTAAAGAGCACAAATTAGACACCTCTCTGTAAATTACCAAACATATATTTATAATGTAGCACACAGTTTTATGTGCAGTGTCATATATTTGAGGCAACCAATCAAGCTACTGAGCACAAATGCACAACATTTTCAATTCCTCTCTCTATTTCTCTATATCGCATTTGCATATTTGATCCATTTATTTGATCTGTCTAGCCAACAAAAGCTGTCTGTCCATACTTTTAACAGTGAGAGAACATTTTCCGGTTGGTTTATTTTTTATTTATCGCACTCTTTTAGCTGTCATCTGTGGTTTTGCCCCCTGGTTGCACATGCATCCTCTAATCCTGGAAATTAAGTAACCTGTGTATTATTCTTGCGGAGCCCACATCTTTACACAATTGCCTCTGTGCTGCTCAGGCTCCTTCAGTGAGCAACACACTGAAAAATGTTTGGAGACATTTATTTCACTATGAAACAGTGGACGTTGTCTGCAATTTCAACAGAATTCACACACTCTAAAATACAGTGTGATTTAAGAGGCCATTTCTGGAAGTTATAGAGCTCAATCATCAGAAATAGACACACGTCTGAAGATAAATTGGTGCCCGTTGTCCTCGTGCAGAGAAATACATGGCCGCCTCAGGTGTCAGACAGTGTCACTGTCCAGCACTTAGCCAGATTTATCCGTGCACCATAGAAGGAACAAGGCAGAATTTGAAGCCTTTAAATTTTCACTCTCAGAATAGTTCAGAGGCATTTTTCAGTAGTCTATATCTGTGCACATTTGGACTGATTGAGGAGTGGTGGGTGAGGGAACGGCTGCACTGTTTTTTTCTGCATGAGAGAGCAGCTCAATTTTCCATCAATCTCTGTAGTCATGCTCTGAACTTAAATGATTTTGATAAAAGACCAGCAAAGAGTGCAGAATTTCTCAACACCGAGGCGTAATAAGTCGGGCTGAAGACACACCGTCACATCTCCACCAGAAAACAACACCTTACTTAAGCAGCAAAAACACCGAGCACGAGGGCATGTTATTAACGGCGCTACAATGAAACTAATTAATGGGAAAAGTTTTGTTTCAGTTGAGCGCTCTCTTAAAATGGACTCGTCTTCACGGAGTAATCACTTCTGTGAGTCGGCGTGCGCGAGGCAGGGCCGTGCAGTTTGTTTACTGTATTGGGGATGTCAAATAGCACAGCTCATTCCCCGAGGAGAAGGAACGGCCCATGCTCCATGCTAATGAACATGCACCCAGTAAATGGCCTGTGCACAGTCCTGTCTGGTTTCCCTCCCCTCACACCTTCCCGCCCTCACCTTGCTCCCCCCTGTCTTCTGTTTGACATTCCACCAGGAAATATGCAGGGTCTCAGCTGCCCCCGTGCACCCTGGGAGAGTTTGACTTAACTGGAAGAAAAATTTCCTCCAGAGTAAGCAGCAAGACCCTATCACAAAAATGTCAGATAGGCTAAAAATCCCATAACACCCGCAGTATCGAGTGTTATGGCTGGTCGCAGCTCATGTCGTCTGCGTTAGGCACAATGCTGAGCATCGGTTTCCTTTTATATCAGAATTTAATCGGTATAAATATTTACCATAGAAGAAGGTTTCAAAATCACAGACTAAAACTAAATGTAGTGAGCATGCAGTCTATAGACTGCTGACATCCTCAATTTCATTATTAATTATTTTAATGAGACATGTAATGCTATTCAGCACAATGGCCTTAAGTGAAATGTGGCAATTTAAAATGTAAAGGTCAGTAGTCATGAGGAGCACTATGAGTTGCTAATGATAACAAATCAAGTTATTTGTCTTGGTAACATGTCCATTATTGGTGTTTTTTTATCTGCAGGTAGACCAGAACTCCAAAAATACCAGTCCTCTTCAACAAGAACTGTTTATTCATTTATTCAAGTTCATTTGTAAACTGATAGGCTATTTAGTCATTTTCTTTGTGCATCACTTTGTCAAACCGCACTCAACTAATCCAGGATCAAGATTCCCTCATTCATGCTAAATATACAACCTTTGCATTTCTAATAACAAAAGGTGTTTGGAGCAGGGACAAAACCCCTCCAAATGACAGAAAATTTTATTACAGCAGCCTTTGTGGCCTCGCACTTCAATTAAGTAGAATTTGATTATGTGTGTAATATGCTTGGCTGGTATCCATATCGCCGGCACAGCTCTCTCTCTCTCTCTCTCTCTCTGCTCGCAGCTCGATCTGGAGTGCTGACATGCCCACACCGGCGTCCTGACAGGATGTGCACAGCCGTGGGGATTTATGGGGGAATAAAGAGGATTTGCAACTGATGCCTGTGTCTGCGCGGTGTTGAAATCTGCTCTGCCGAAGTCCCAGTGCTGCACGCCTTACAGTTGCACCTTTTCCATCCCTACGCTGGAATGACTAATTGCTGCCCCGGTCAGTATCGGAGCATCCTATTAGACCACTATTGTCAGCGAGAGGGTCTGAACAGGGTTGATTACAAGGACACATAATTTCAGTTTTCCCATCTTTTTTTCCTTTAATAGTTTTCCATTCACTTTACAAGGCCCATCACCCCACAGATGGCCCAACAACCACACACATACTCATCAGAATTTATAGAAGTAATTACACGGCTGTAATTGATACAATGACTCACTTGCATCGATACAGAACTACCTTGCCTTTAACTGAATATACCCTCAATGTCTTTTTCTGACTCTTTTCTGGACGGTGGCAGGAAAGAGGCAAAATAAACTTGGTAGTTTGTAGCTTTTTGCATCACTGAACTGTTAAAATCTGTGTTTTCTTTGCATAGTTCCATGTTAAAAAGGAATTGGATATAATGAGGGGAGCAAACCTTGACATCCTCTACCAAATACTTTTTTACTTTTTCTGTCGCAGCACATCAATAACAAAACACAACGCTATCCTCATCTGAATTCCAGTGCTTGACCGCTAAATATTTCCCAAAGTCCTTTGAATTTACACAAACTATGGTTGGGTTATGACAATAACATTCACCTAAGGCACAGGTGAAGGCCTGAGCACAACTAAATGGAAATTCTTCCAGTGAAGTTTAGCTCCTTTGTGACAGTTTATTTTATCTCAGGCTGGCAAAATTATCTACATAAAGATGTAGCACCCATTCTCAGATCATCCCTCTCCCTCAGCTCTCCCCCCTTGGGGGGGTCAAGGCGAAGGAAGGAAAAGGTTGACAAAACAATGAAACCATCGCTTCGATCCTGAGGTCATCTCATGAAACAACGACTTAATCTGAGCTCACGGGAAACTAGCATACAATCTTTAAACCCCAAAGTGCTAAGTGAAGCTCTCATAATAATTTACAATAACATAAAAAGTTACAGCAGCACAGAAGCAAAAATACCCTTTAACTTTAAGGTGGGCTGGCACTGTTAACCCATTCCCAGGAGACCAATTAAAATGGACTATTAGAATTTTTTTTTTCTTTTATAACTGTTAAAAGGGGAAAAAAAAATCAGTCCTCAGAGGGAAATCAGAAGGAAAAAAGTCCTCACTGGGAATAAAAGTAAACAAACTTAAGGAAAAAAACTAATTAGCATGTTAAAATGATTCTTTAATTTTTGCAATGAAACACTTCAAAGCACGATGATACATGTGAGAGCTAAAACAATGCTGGTAAATGTTTAATGACTAATTATGTTGAATACTAAGCGCACTCATAATAGTCTGTTGAAGTCAGTTATGTACAAAGAGTCAAGAATCTCAACATTCCACAGCATTGGAAACATTCCAGCTGAGGGAACAAATGGCAAACAAAAAGGAGTTTAAAACTTGCCAGAAATTGGATTCCTAGAATACAATCTGGCACTAAATTACATGATTTTCGCCTGGGCAAAAATCCCAGGAAACAAAAGCACTGGAATAACCCTGAAGTCATCTATATATACAGTGCATCACCTGTTAAAGTCATAAAGATCGACAATTCTCTCATACTCTACTAAGCCAAGACGGCAATAAAAACTATATAACCATTGTTAGTACTATCAAGTCTGCAGGGTGCAGTACAATGGCCAGATTGCAGTTCAGAAGTACTATAATGCTTGCTTGCAAAGCTTTTATTGACAATTAATTTACAGCCTTAAGCAAACTATAAACCAGAGGGCAGTCGACCTCAGCCATCCCTCTTTAACCCATGACACCCAAAAACCAAATTTGTCATCTTCTTTATGAAGAACCAGATAATGTAAAAAGACAAAAACTCAAATGCCAAATCTTGCTCGGGCTTATGGGTAAAGAATATGCATCATATTCTTTTTCAGACTCGGATATTAAGAAGGTTTTCCAATTAACATAACACCATGAGGAGAACTGAAATGTTAATGGCAGAGGCCGTGACTCATGTTTAGCTAATCAGCAGGTCCTGCTGTATCGCACATTGATGAAACATAAGGTGTTCTTAATCAGGTTTACAACATAATTCCTTGTACTATGTCTTTTTTTTGGCTCCATTTCATAAAAGGGTTTACAGGAGGCTTACCCAGGATATGATGTCCCAGATCAACTCTGAGCATCAGAGGAGCTCAGTCATTACTACCACAGACTCATTTTATACCTTCACAGCTGGAAATCCTGGTCAAATCTTCCTTTTTCCCCTGAATAAATAACACCAGTGTACAAATGAGATACCATGTTTTGTTTCTTTGTTGTAAACATTGACTGCCAACCATTAAGTATTCCGTTTAATTCATACAAAAATGTATTTTTCAGTAACACTAAAGCAATCATTACGATATGTCAGAATGTGGCATTTGGATCACTGTGGAGGAATGTCACTGATATCTGATACAAATCTCGCTTGATACATGACAATAACTGAGAGATGTTTAGCTTTCTCTAAATATTCAATAGAAAACACATAGGGAGAAAAAAGGCCAGCAAACTTTGAAGTACATAAAAGAAATGTTCAGCGACTTATCTTTCCCCAGCGGCTCACTCGCACAAACACACCCACACACACATGCTCTCTGCATCTCGTAAGACACTGAAAGACCTGATGATATAAACTCCTGCAAAACTTTCTCAACTTGAAACGGCACAGAAGAAAGAAAACTGTGAATTCTGCGCTTTGTCGTCACACTTGCTTCCCGACTGCACAAAACAATATTTAGATAAGAAATGGATGCTTATGATATAATAACAAAAGGAAAAAACATTACCAACAATAACATCCGACAAATGTGCTCCAAAAATTTCAGATGTAACCGTTTGCTTGCATCACTTGTGAATCAAAAACGGATTTTTTTACCTTACAGAGGCAAGGAGACGGCCTTCATTTATTTTCTTTTGGTGTATATTAATGAATGTCAGCAAGCTTAGTTTATCAATTCAGAAGTTATCTCTCTCTCTCTCTCTCTCTCTCTCTCTCTGATGAAAATGCTCTACATTAAAAATGACACTGGAAGGTAGGACATTTGATTTTACATTGGAGACAAGAAGAGTTTCATCACTAAATTGTATTAATTTGTTTAAGTGTATGTCCTTTAATTTCTATCACTGTGATAATGAATCTGAAACTGTCCAAGGCATACAATAACCAAATGAAATATAACCTTGGGTAAAGAAATTAGTGAATTAAAAAAACAACTAAAAAATCCTAAAAAACAAAACTACATTTGGATGAACCACAGGATGAATGCCATTTCTAAACAGATTACCAAAGCCAATAATTTGACCTTTCTATTTTATGAAAAGGACTTCACTTACAATGGAATGCTAACTTAATGTGATCATTGCAATGCATGTGGAGGCAGAGGTGACCAGTAAATGAATATGAAGGTGATCTTCTGGGCTTACCAAAAGCAAGAGCTTCACAATGTACTTATGAATTGTAAAACCCTAAAAATCCTTGCAAAGAATCATCAAATCTAAAAACCTTTCCACTACAATTAATATGAAAGATCAAGGTAGCTGTTTTCATTAATATTACCTAGCCTCTGTAGCCTCCATGAATATAGCCGGAAAGAGGGTTCAGCCGTGAGCCTTTCGTTCAAATAGGTGGCAAATGTCATGGATAAGGATACGCATTCTACAGTCCTGAGTTGGGCCACAAAGAATTGTAGAATGAAAAGTTGGAGCCTTTTGAATAAATATTACTGCTTTGGGATGTTTTTATGCTGAAAGGAAACGTTTGTACTGATTTTACCTTAAAAAAAAAAAATCTGAGTGGTCACTGCCACTCGCACTTAAGTTCCAATGTGTAAATAAGAAACTCTGCCATTTACTTACTTAGTTTTACCTCTTTTAAAGGGAGAAATGCTTTGCCATGCAGTTATGCTGATTAAGGTTGTGCAAAGCAATCTACAGCGAGCCAGCTTAGAATTGCCCAATTGACAGGGTATTTAGAAGAGTAGTGAAATGAAAGAAAGCTCAATTACATCGTCCCAGCATGTTCCACATAATTCACAGTAAATCCCTTTTTCAAGCCTGTCTTTCGGAAATTACTGGAATGTTACAGCACAAAAAACAGAGACGGCTGCATGAGTGCATTAGGGCGACTCTTAGGAGAAGAGCTTATGGAAAACTGCAGAGCAATGCAGAGAAGTAAGCAACTTCCTGTTTGGCTCTGCCACGCCCAGAGGGATTCAGAGGACTGAATGAGTCCGCAACCATGCAGCACAATCACTGATAAACAGTGCTGCAGATTTGTAAGCTGAGGCAGAAGAGAACAAGAAATTTAAAAAGAGTATCCGTTTGAAAATGCAAGAGCCAACTACTGGAAGATGAAAAATAGACTTCACAAATATAACCTTATTTACAGTAAATGCAAACAAAATGTGCAAGAATACAGCGGAAAGGTCAGTTATTCTATCGAATGAATGCATAAATGACTTCCATCTAAAAAACATCTTATTTGAATGCTTTTGATTCTTGAGTTTGAAACTTATTAGGCGTGTGTGGTTTTGCGAAATTTTTATGACTATATGAATTGCAGAGTTCTCATGACAAAAGAGCAAAATTGCCATATCTCTAAAGCAGCTATTGATAAACTGATCTATTCTTGAAGGATAGTTTTTGTATTAAAATGTCACATTCTGGCATATCCAAATGTCAACTCCCAAGGTTGCCTTGCCATATGTAGCCTTAACACTTCTTTTGAAACATTTGTCCATTGTGAAAAGGTGGCTAAAAGAAAAATCAAAGGATATTATTTACAGTACATTATTGATATATTATATGTGTGTGTGTCTGTCTTTCATATATATATACACAAAAGAGGTATGTGAATATATAATGTACCATATAATATATGCATATAATATATGTTTGCCCAAAACGTTATTGATGTTCTAACATTTGTAGAGGAGATGTTAAGGCTATTGTAATATTATGAATGAGCTGGTTGAGATAAAGGGTGCAGATGCTGATAAGATAGCGGGCAGCAAAGAAGAGTCTGAATTTTCTCAGATGTGAATGGAAAAGGCTATGACAGGTGTCTCTGGCATGCCTGCGCAAACCGTCCTCATTGTCACCTATCAGAGGCACTATCTGATGAAAACTGTCCATCCACGGTCTGTCTTTACTGTAGGTACAAGCCATTGTTTTCTTTTTCCTCAAACCCATTATCACACATGCATGCAAGCTCTCTCTCACAAACACAGCCACTCACACAGTGTCTGAGAGGGGTAGCAGTGGGGGAATACAGTACCTTGCGTGTTGACTGGATTGGTGGTGGGTGTGGGGATAGTAGTGGGAGCATCTAGATGAAAAGAGTGAGAAAATAAAGAACATGTATAAGAAATAAAGACAAGAGTAAAGAAAGAGACAAAAGTCATTGAAGATGAGAAGTTGTGCTATAAAAATAGTAAGTAACATTATTCTTCTGTGTGAGTTAAGTTAGAAACTTTGGAGCTGCACTTACAATGAAAGACTCACATTTTTAAGAGTATCTTGCAAATAAATGTCAGGCTACCACAGCCAGATTTAAGCATGGTTTAGATCACCTGGTCCTTCAGAGATTTGTTATCAAATCAGAAGCTACATATTAGGTTGTTCTCTTTTTCCAGGCAAAAATATCAAAATGTTCAAATGCAGTTTTAAATTTGGAGTTTTTTCAAATTTAGCAGCCATTAATGAATTTACCAAATTTAATTTACTTTTAACTCCATTTGTAAGTATCACAGAATAGCAACATATATTAACAAATATTAGGTTAAAGGTCATTGCAAATTATTTTTCTTTAGCAGTTTTTCCTCTTCTCTATCAGAGAAAACCTTGTCTGAATAGGTCTCCAAATTTGTATTTTTGAGAAGAATAACTACAATAAACTGACTTAGTATTAGGGTCATCTCAAGGAAAGTATTTTAAAATACCTCTGTAAACCCTGTACAATTTTTAGAGTTTATAAAACCAAACTTACTGTTTTGCTGTTCCTTATTTCTTATTCAGAGCTTTCTTCGCTGTTAGTAACTTGTGATGGAATTAAGACTACTAAAATATATGCAGACGTGGTTAATCATCTGGTGGCTCTTCGAGCAAATATTTTAATTATTCTATGGAAAGCTTTAAATAAGTGGGTGGATGACTTGTTCGTACACAGGTGTATCACTATAGATCCATTACCCACATCTTCCATTAGGATGGCCTAAAGTCAGTATTATATTAATTAATGTTTTCTGGGATAGCAAAGAAAAATAAAAAATTGTCAGGCAAGTTTGAGGTATGGATGGAAAGATACGTGGAAAAGACATGGACTGTGGAGTTTGAGATTCATCTGTATGACCATAAATCTGTTGACTAGTTCATACAATCATCTATGCTTTCATTGCTAAATCATTACATAATATATTATTTATATTTTTTCTAAAACTATGATGATGGTAAAAAAATTGACAGGTTATACATTTATTTAGCTCATATCATCTAGACTAGGATCACACTTTTCAACCACATATCCTGTCATAAAAATAGATGTGAGATGGTGGACTAATACAGAAACCCTGCTCTTCACTGAACCCTGCTGCTTTATGGTGAAGAATACAAAAAAAGCCTTTCATATTTCACTGGGCAGGGGTTGTATTATGTCATAATAGTAAGTGTTCAGTATTATTATTCTTATGGCCAGATTCTAATTAAGACCGAATAATAATGTCTGACATTCAAAGAAAGGTATTTCTATTTTCTACAGTCTCAATAATTAAGTCAGATTGCAAATTAAACCACTCTGGGTTCCTGCTGCAACCCAGCAGAGCCTCGAGTTGCATCCGTTGCCCCATAATGTACTGATTAGGCCCGTCACTAACCCCCAAACAAAATAATCAGAGAGACAAAATGGAGGGCAAATCAGGTATGCAACAGTACTAAAGAAAGCTGAAAGCTCTGCTCATCAGGGGAATATACGCCTGGCTCTGGTGCAGGGGAAGATAGCAAGACCCCTCGCTGTGGAAGAACCGCAGCAGGGGAAATTGGCTGGCTGTTTCCATGCCTTTATTGTCTGCACTCCATCAAAAGACAGCACTGGGGGACCACACACTCCCAAACTAATGATAAAACATCAAGGATGGCATAATGTTGCTGCCGGGGATGGAGTGCATGGTGGAGGATGAGGTTGATGGTGGTAGGGGGGTATCAGGGTATCAGGAGCAGATTCTGGTCTGGCAGTATTTGAAGTGGGGGGGGGGAGGTGGGGGGTGGGATAGATATCCTTCCCTATGACCGAAGGCAGAACGATAGCTGAAATGTCAGTGCCTGGAAGAGGGAAATTGGCCATTCAGGGATGAGGGTCTTCACAAAGGCTGGGATAGGATGTGGCACATATAATATCCAGACGAACAACAATTCTCCATGGGCAATTTCCAGGCTGGATGACTCTGGGCTCAGCATTATGAGGGCTGAAATATGAGTGTATTTTGGAGATGCCATATTTTCAGGGAGCATTTGTATCAGTGAGGAATTTGATATGAGAAAATTTAACCATAAAGTGAAACAATGTTGGAGAAATTGTTTATCTATGCCTGCTTAAACCTGCCTGCCAACACAACAGCAGGGGGGATGTTTTCCTGTTTTCGTTCTGTCTATTTATTTCTGTTTCTTAAAAGTTCCTTTTCTACGTAGCTTTAAAACAAAAACACAGAGAAACGTCTAAGTGATTTAGTAAATGTTACTATTCATTCTAACAACAAAAGAAAAACAGTTTCTGAGGTGCTGGTAATTGCTCCGCACTGTGCTGCAGTGCAATACAAGGACCCGGTTTCCCATTAAAAAAAAAGGAGACCCATGAGTCCTGTCTGCGCATGTTGTGTCAAACCCTGACAAACCCCAAATTTCCAGTGCCATGTGAATCTTTGACTTTTTGTCCATTGAGGATTTATGGGCCAAAAAGTCAATTGCAAGCTGAAGCGTGGTGGTAAAGAGGGCGGTTGTGTGAGTTATAGCACCAGGTCACCTCTGAGAGTGAAAGGCGTCTCTCTGACCAGTTCTCTCCCATACCACACTTCACCCAGGGGGCACAATTCACAGGCTGCTGCAGACAGACCCTCGTGGAGAACAGCATGACAAGCCTCTTTCTCACCCTTTCAACCAGCCACATACAATACAAGTAGCACAATAGGACTTGATTTGACGCGGATTTACATCAGCCTCCCACCTGTCCAGGCTGTTGGAAAGTGAAAGGTCATTAGTCTTTTTGAAATAAGAAGAGCCTGAAGGACTAGCAGAGGTGGAGGGTGTTGGGAGAATGAAAAGAAAATTGATGGACATTTCCCTTTGGCTCTATCAATAATTCTCACAAGCAAATATTTACACAAAACATTCAAATAGGAATAGTTGTTGCAAGCTATCACTTGAAAAAGGGGGTTCTTTCTTTCAGGTGTGTGACAGCCTTAAAAGTTGCTTGTTAACTGCAAAACAGAAAAGCCAGAAAAGAGAAAAATATGTTGCCAAAGTTAGCAGCCTACAAAAACACTGTAAAGAATTATCATAATAAAGCCAATCAATGCAATGCAATCACACTACGGTAGCAGCCATGACTAATCTGGGCCAACAAACCCTCACATGACCCACAACATGTATTTATTTGGTATTAAATCCCTACAGAAAGGAGGTGTGGAAGTCAAAATATATAATTAGGTGAAGTCTGAGCATCTTTGATCAATAACCTGCTTCTCATTACTGACAGTGGAGGTCATACGTCTATTAACGCTCACACACCAGATAGAGGAGAGGATTTACCTAAAGACAGAACATGTTAATTAATTGTTGTAGCGGAATATTTCCTAAACTATCAGAAATTTAGTGGTGATAGTCTAATAATCTGCCTTGAGTGAGCTATTTGCCGACATATGCTGTCCTTTTGTTTGGGAGTAATCATTATGGGCCCATTGGGAACAAGCAGATGTCATCATCTGCCTGGCAGAGCATGATGATGAATAACCATAGCACCACAGAGTTATCAGAGCCGCAGAAACCATGTTATGGCCACAAAGTCTCATGTTGTATTTCGTGAATTCAAGAGCTTTCTTTTTCTCTCATATTCAACCAACCAATAGAACTGTTGAATGTTTGGCATATAATGATGAGATAATGAATTGAGACTATTCTTAAACGAACCGGAAAGATTTTACAAAGGACTAAATACCTGCACTTTTCTCAATCTTTTGTGTCTCAAAGATTTGGATTAGTGGATTCCCGCTGTTTTTTGGAGCCTCGACATTCCTAAAACCTCACTGTAAAACCATTCATGGGGCTGTAATTACACATTTTTCCTAGTATGAAAATTGAGTTCTTTTTAAATCCTGCAAATTCTAACAAACTGCACATGCCAAGGGCCCACGTCTTTTGCCTGTTTTTCTCTGTTTTAAACAGATCAGAGCTCTCTCTCTTTGGGTTTAATCTGTAGCATTTTATTTACCGGTATATAACATCAACTATATAAGTCTACAATTGAGGTTATTTTGTACATCTGACTGACACCGAAAAAGAAGTAGATACCATTATAATAACTTATTATTATGACTTACTTAAGTGATAACTAAGAATCCACAATTCAATCAAGTTAAAAACAAATCATTTTTAATAATGATTTATTTTTTAAAACCATGACGGGGAAAAAAATTAGCAACGGGACCAAATATAGTATCTGTGTAGATGTGTGAGAGTAGTTTTTTTGTAAACAGAGTTTTAAATTGTGCAATAACATTTACCTGTTCTCTGTAAAATCTGTTTTTTGCTACATCACGATTATATTCTATACATAATCAGTTAAGTTTAAAGGGATTGGAAATTCAGGACTTCTTGTCCCAAAAACTGACATTTCATACAAAGTTTCACTGAAGGCTATATACAAGTTCATCTGAGATGCAGAAATAGTGTTTTCACACATTGCCGGAGAACCTAAATATCCGGCACACATATTTCCTTTTTGGCAGAAAGTATTTTTGGTCCAATAGCAGAAACAAGTTGAAAATTGGGAGTGAAATACAAAAAAAGTGTTTGTTTTTAACAGCAGGGAGCAAGTGGTTTATGGAGGGAAAGCTGCATTCACCAACAATGGCCCAGCCTGCAGAAAAAGCATTTCCCTCTCATCTCCATCACCCCTGTTGGCCATCAAAAACAGGATATTAAGGTCCAAGGAGTGTGCAGTTCTCTAACATCATGTTTTGAAGGCTCTTTGTGCTTTAAACATTTTAGACAATTACCCCTCACTGTCACCCCATAGGAATTCAATTACAGAGAATCTCATCTTTCAAAAGCATAATTTGACTGGAGAAAAGACTTGTAAATTTTCTAACCGTTGTAGGGAATTTGAAGCTAAGGATTTGATGCATTTAAGCTTTGTTTGTGGTAATATTTTGTGACGTATGGAAAAGCTAGATGGCACAGTCTCACTCATCTTCTGTTCTGCCCGACTGTTAAAAAACTGTGATAACAGCTTAAGAGATAGACAAAGAGGAAAAAAATATGTTTATGAGCTGAGGGTAATCAATTGTAAATGGTGTATGCAGTGGGATACTATTCTCGACAAGGGGGTACCTTTTCTTGACATAAAATAAATGATGATCTAATGCTTTATTAGGGAAATTAGAACTAATGCATGATAATCAAAGTATTCGTGAGAAGCCAGTTTTGTAGTTAGTTACGTTAAAATGTAAGTAGTTCTGTTGCCTTAAATCGCAAAAGCCAAGCCAGCAGTGGACAGGTTTTAAAAGTACAACTTTAGAGTTTGTCAGCTTGTTTTTTGCACGCCTGTGTGTATACATATGGTCATTGTCCTGGCTTTCCTTTAGGTCTGCTGACAATACAGCATATGGCAGTACACAATGTTTTCCTGCAACAGATTCCACCTGGATCATTTGCTGCCCTTCTGTTGCATCAAAAACATAGATTTACCATCCAATGTCTGTCTTTCCCGAATGTTTTATTGTTTCCGTTTTAATTAAGGTTCAAGGGGCCACTTGCATTTTCAACATGCCTGCAGATGTTTGCAAGTACAGATGCTTACACCAGCCATTGTCGACCAAAAACTGAAATTTCGATTCCTGTCACAATCCTTTATTTCGAACCCTTTTCTTAACACAATGAAATCCATGCACTATGTTCTGTAATTGATCCTTTTTGTTGAAACTCCTTTAAGTTGTTGAGCTGTTTGACCTTCTCATATATGCAGCAGAGACTCTGGTTTTAGCTTAATAGTGCTAAAGGTAATAAGAAACTAAAATTCGGATGAATGAAAAACCCACCATATACATACAGGATGTAGTCATCGTAGGCCTCTCCCACAGCATTAGATGCCACACAGCGATAGGTACCGTTGTAAGACTTGTTGAGGTTCTCAATGTACAGATCAGAACCGGTGACCACAGCGTGAGGGGGCACATCCTCGTCCACTCTCAGCCAGTTGATCTGATGGGGACTGGGGAGCACAAATTCAACACAAATCATTCAGAAACTAGCCATCCATGCTACAAATCTTATTAAAAAAAAAATAGTGATAGTGATTTGTAAAGATTAAAGAGATGTCTGCAATAGTGGAAAAAACGGATACATGAGCGTAAACTAAAAAGTTAGAGCCCTGGAGTTCTGTATGCATAAATACTTACTGTGGTTTTCCTTCAGCGATACACGTCAAATCTAGATGGTCACCCTCTCTGGTCAGTCCCTCTGGATATGTTACCACAATCTTCACCTCTGGTTTATCTGTAAATGAAAGATAAGAGTGTCAGCAATACATTGCAAAAAGCAGTAGTCAAAAAGTGAACTGATTAATGACATCTAAAGCGAACAGGCTTCCAAATGAAAGTATAATGTGAATTATTAACCGGGTCTTCTTTGCACGGTTGTCTTCCAGTCAGTCTGCTGTACCTTAAAGGAAAATGTCTTTTTTTCTTATCAATGCTCGCAAAAGATTACCAAAATGTCAAACGGATCCAGTCAAGCTTTCTATTTTTCCTTGAAAGGTCAGACAAAACAGCTATCTACCTGAAAAAAATTAATATTCGACACAGAGTACAAAAAGGGTAACCTAACCTTTCTTTCATGTTTAACAGTGGTAGGCAGCTTGTATTGCCTCTTCAATCAATGCATCATTTAAAGTGTACCTTAACATTATATGGCAAATTAACTAAATAAAAATGTTTTATCATAATAGTGAACATGTAACATTTGATAAGAAAAAAACTGAATATTCTATTCTAAATAGAATAAAACTCATAAATTGGACAGTGAATAACACTGTTGCGACTGTACTATCCTTGAACAGATACAACAAACTACACACAATCATACTTAAATGTAATACTGGTTTGAAAAGACTGAGATTTGGAGTCTTTTTTGCTAGTTCATACTCTGCATGATAAATGGCAGCAGTGACTTTATGGGTTACACCAACTTTGCACTTAGATCCTCTGTTGAAGATCATAGTGCAGATAAACATCCCAAATGACACATTTCTTTTTGTTGTAAATCCAACTCCGTAACAGTGGTTTTAAACTGCGAGTCACAAATCTTTAAAAGTCAACGTGATCTCATTTGGAAGACCTGGAGACAACCTTAACATCATGTTTGTGCAGTTCCACGCAGAAGGTTTCTGTTCAAGTCACAGACTGCATTAAAACGCAACTTGCCAACCTTTGTCACCTCCTCAGCCAGAGTTACATGAGTTTCAGTGTGTAAATCTAAACAAATCACTACACAAATTGTGCAGATATCTAATAACTGTGTAGCATCATTATATACATTACATAATACAAATATTATACAATGGGTGAATAGGTAAGTTGATAAGTGGACAATCTGAGCTAAATTAAAGACTCTTAAGACCCTGTATGTGGTCTTTGTGTGGTGTCTGTGTATATTTAGTTGTACAGTAGAAGTGCATCAGCCAATCCAATAATCAAGGCACTTGGTTGTCCCCATTCTCTTGCAGTGTATACAGAAGCTTGGTTTCGTTCTGGCATTGGAAACAGACAGTTCTGGGTCACTTACACAGCACTTCCAAGTGTCTTTGGACCAGGAGGTCTTTCACAGCTGGGTGGTCTACGATGCACTCCACTGGCACTCCATCATCGTCTTTAGTGACGGAAAACTTCACCCGGCTGGTGACGGTAAACATCCTGTCATACATCTCCTCAACTGTTGTTTCACCTTTAAAAAAAAACAAACAAACAAAAAAAAACAGAAGCATGAGAGGAAATAAAGTCAAGGCCTGGAAAGTTCAAAATGAAATCTGGAATCTTGAAGCAGCTCCAGCTGTAGTGGCTGTAATGGGCAAATAGTCATAGCTATTAAGAGCATATTACCTGTCAAAGTGGAGTACTTTCAGATGGCATTTACATTTAATTTATGATTCAGTGATGTGGTGCCCGAATGGGACTTTAGAGGATTCAGAGAAGCCCGAGGCCTTCAAATCTGACTAGAGCACCAAGGAGCGGCTGGGTCATATCAAGCCTGATAATGAATGCTTCTGCTGCTTGAGGGGTGAGCATTGTTGGGGCTAACCCTGCAGTAATCTGCTGCCCACTAAGCCCAAGGCTGTCAGAGGGGCATTCATTTAGAGAGCATTACAATGCCACAGGGGCATCACATTAGCCGCAGTGCTGAGTGTGATGGTTTACTCGCACTTAATGAAGTGAGGAAATAATTACAGCCCCACGCTGACCTGCAGCACACTTCCATTTTAGCCCTGTCACAAGGGAGCCTGGCTGGACTCAGGGAGGGCAAAACGCTGTTGTTCCACAGTTGATGATCACCAACACACACATATGTGGCCCCTTGTTGGGTATTAACCCCGTGTAACATACACCCAGCCGTGAAAGAACCTGCCTGCATAAAATTTAAAGTACTGGGACCAGTTAGTGGTCATTGCACTTTTGGGCATTAAATTTGACGACGCTGCCGACGCCGTGGAAAAAACAGGCTGTTTGAAAAGCACACTGGCTGTTTGAAAAAGTCTGAGTGAGTAATAACAGTAAATAGTAAATGCTGTTTTGTCCAAAGAAACTGCAGGATATAAAACAAGCACTATATTGCAGCGATGAGAATAAACATTACTCGTCCGGATGCACCCGAAAGGTTTTTTTTTTTTTCTTGAACCAACATTTCTGTGATCCGACTTCTCTCAAAAGTACTGCAGCTGCAACAAATAAGATCCTCTCTTTAGTTACAGAAAATTTCTGGGAGATTTGCAACAGCAGTATAATTTTCCCATTAGCCTATTTAATGTCTTGCTCTACCATTTGATGGAGTACATTTTCTTTTATTATACCTAACCTATCATAATTAGCCATTTCTACCACTCAATATAGTTTTTCAGAGCCTAAAGTAAGAAGACGTCGATTCCTTTTTTAGAAATGTGATAGTTTTCCAAGAGAGTTCCGTCTTGCTCACTGATTCAAAACATTAATTAATCTTTCTCCAATCAGTCTGAACATATGTAAAGACACAGTTTTCCATGGTTTTTTCTTTATCACTGCAGACATAAAAAGGATAACATTTATTTTGTCACCACAAGGGCAAGGAGCAGTTAATCAGAGCACATTGGTAAGGTCAGAGAGGGAATCTAAAGGTAAACTTGCCAGAAGCACTGCTATATGTGCCAAACAGCCTGGTGAAGAGGAGTGTGAATTGGAGGGATGTGGAGTTTAGATTTTCTCTCTTTTTCAATCTCATTAGTTCTCTCATAATAGTTGGAACAACTGAAGCTATTTCAGTCTTTCATACTATGTGTGTGGCAAGCTGTGTTTGATTCTTATGTGATTTTCATCTGTTGTTCATTACATACCATATAATATATCCACTTAAAACCTGCCAAATGTTTCTGTAAACAACAAGTGAGTTGCATCTGTCCAGGAGGAAAGATAATAGACAGTTTTTGTTTGTTTATTCGTTTATAAAAAGCCTTTGTCTGTTTGAGTATAGATGAGGAATTTAGCAGCTGGTGAGTTCCATGATTACAATGTTGGCATTTTTCAGTGGATCTCATTTAACAGTTTATCATTTTTGATACAGATTTTAAGTCGAATGGAAGACAGACTATGCACTGATTAATGCAACTTTAAAACTGTTAGCCCTCTCTTCAGTGCTCCATCATCAATAATCTTGCCAAGATGAAGATGTGTTAGTTAATATGCAAACACACAAAGGAACCCAAAAGGCCTCACTCACTTTGGGTATCATTTTTGTTCATCAGTCCTCCATAAGGAGACAAATGAAAACGATAATAAACATTAATGTATCCTGACATACAGTTTGTATCATAACACAAAACAAACATTACTTTTATTATCTAATTTCTTTAACGCCTTATAAAGCCAAAGGAGACATTTTACATAGCAACAATCCAGAACAGACACATAGCTTTTGACTTTGAATTTAGCAACAAGGTTATTACATCAGGATGTCATTGCAATCACATTTAATTTGTTTGTCTCCTAAAACAGTTTTCATAATTTCTCCTGACGGAAAAACCCTAATGATCGTGGTGTTTTTGCCTTTGCAGGTCCATGCTGTACAACCTTCAAACACCTCTGCATTGTGAAGGCAGAAGAAGTTCATATGTGACATTAGCAAAATTCGTTTGAGGACTATAAATATGTTTAGTTTTGTAATGTTCTTCATATTTGACAAGATCCTGTTGTATTAAATTAGGTAACACTTCAGGTGGGATATTATGACCAAAAATGGAGAGTAAATTCCCAACACTACAGCTTAATATGTTAAAAAGAGGTACATGCAAATTCTTTAAATCTTCTTGATTTCAAGATCTTTTAGAAGATGTTGACAAAAAAGCATTTCAATTACAGGGGATCACTATTTCAAATATTCCTTACTTTAACTTATTTTTCCAATTGACATTGATCAAGACGAATTTGAACAAATTACTTGAATATGAGAAACAGCTGGCAAATTTCAGAAAGATCAGATTGTTGAGAGCAATTATCCATGTTCAGGCCAACCGATACATATCAATTAACTGGGTCGTTCACACCGAGATAAAAAAAAAAAAACATCAACTGTGGATCAGGTCACAGAAGGATTCAGATCTGAAGGCAGAGGAGATTTGAAAGTTGCCGCACAGATGTCAAATCAAATGCTCTTTTTAAGTATCAAGCGCTGATCAATCCCAGTGCAATCAAGCGCGGCCTCTTCTCAGGGTGACATTTTCTTTCACTCAACTTCTAACCCAATTCGTCTGACTGCCAATGCACGTCAATGATCAAGCTGCTTTGAGATGCCTTCAGCATACCCTGCTCCAGGACTGGTATTACCATTAGTGAATTTAGCTGAAATGAATGCCGCAAATGTATTCCATTGAAGAGAGAGACAGGATGTCTTTTTTTGCAAACTGAAAATTATTACTGTTGTCCTCTTTCAGAGGCATTAGCAAACTGATTAATTTCGCAATCAATGGAGGCATTGATTGAAACTCATAAATCTTTTGTAAAGTAGCCTGGAAAACAAACAAATCTGAGAGATGTCTCTGGCAACTTCTTGTTCAAACAGCTTCCCGTTCAGCTTTGTATGAGCAGGCCAGCCACAGCAGCAAATCTCACGTTGAGCATGTCTGATACGATAAGACTTCTGAGCCCTGGTGCTCACCGCTACGTCACACGATGGGCGGCACTGATTGGTTGGAGGTGTGTTTAACTGTGTCCAGAGGAATTTGGGCTGAGTCTGCTGATAATGCCCTTTGGTAATTAAAAATGAAGATAACAGTTGTTCAGTAATTTGCATTTATCTGTCATTGCCTGGCTTCAGGAAAATAAATAATACTTGACCATCATAAGTGGTTTACTTTTACATTTAACCAAAGCAGCTCTGATAAATTAGATATCCTCATGCTAAAATTAATTCAAATGTTGGCATTTTTTAAATTAATGCCTTAATAAGATTCTGCAAAATCTAGCTCAGAGACAACGTCTTCCTTTATCTAATCTCAGGTCACATTTAAATAACTTTCCCCTGTTGTTTATGTAAATGAGCATTTTGACACTTTGTGATTCTTTTTCTGGCCAGACCCCACTTTTGGTCTCACCTTTGTATCTGTTGGGATGACAAATGGTGGAAAAACAATTTTGGCTAATCAAGTTTCTAATTAAATTGATCTTTTCTCTATCAAAACTACCCTGATAGTTTGGAAATAGTGGAACCAGAGAATTTCCACAATAGTCATGGCCAAACTGGATATGATATAAAGCCAATGTAATGTGTGCCTTTGATTCTCAACATGTGCGGGCCTAATGACTATTTACCCATCCACAATGAGAAGTGATTCTTGTTTCCTCGGGTACAAGAGGACGTGACTTTCTGGCTCTCTTTTTGTGTCCACTGCCACTATGGATTAGCCCTGCTCAGCATGTCAGTGGCATTTTGCTGATCTAACCATCCTGTCGCCTCTCCCTCCCCTGCACAACACTCAACAACTCATAAACAGAAATTGACTTTGACTCCTGTAGGGAACACTGGAGGCACAGATGGCATTTAGCTTCAGATTCGCTCTTGTCTAAATATTTCATCTCTCAACAAGCCAAATGTATCCTCTCCATTCTAATACATATATAATATGACACCAGCTTAGAAAAATCTATTTAAACAAATACAATAAATCTGACTAAAATGAATATCCTTGTTGCTGTAAAGTCAGTTTATAATGAATAATTGATAAGTCCAAATCATGACTGAGATGTAATGAGATTATTTTCCCCACTTCACATTATATACCATTTTTCCTGCAAGAACCCACCAGTGGCCAAATGCACTGAAATGAAGATAAAATACTCAAATAAAAGCTCAATACCATGTCAACCATCTATTGTTGGTTTGAAGTAAATAGAAATTCAGAGCTGAATACTTTAAAAAAACATAAAACATAAAAACACATACACCAGCACCCTACATGTAACTAAATCTTTACTGTAAATCTTTGAGCCAATCTTAATCCAAACATAATCTCTGAAATAAAATCATAGTTTGAAAGTAGCTCTAAAGCAAATAAAATGTTATGAGAGACATAACACGGGCTTTAATTACAGCTCCTTCAGATTGAATGTGTAGCTTTAGCAAGCAGAGGGAGAACAGGGGGGAGCGCACAGGACAGAAAGAAAGAAGGATAGCACTGTATCCTCCAATTCTTTATGGCAGGCAGGATTATCTTCCTATGTACATACACCAGTTAACATTATCAGTATAACACACATTTAGAGGAGAACTGCATTTTTCTCGCAGAGGAAGAGCCTCCAGAGACCAGGACTTGTAGTGAAGTGGACAGGCCAGCAGCATGTGAAGCAAACTGGGGTAGGCTGTTATTCTACCAACCTGTCAGTTCTTCCTCCCCCTTCATCCATCTGATGGAGGCGGCTGGCTTGCTGCCCATGGCAGTGCAGGTGAACTCCGTCTCGTTTCCCTCGCTGACCACATCCTCCCGGCTGTCGATGATTGAGCTGCCTGGTGGGACTGACCCAGAGCAACGGCAACGGTCAAAAAAGGCTGGAGCCCGGCTTCACTCATGTTCACTTTTTCACACCGTAAAAGCAATGCAAATGTTATGTTGGGTTTCAACAACTGTTGCCCAATATTAAAAATTAATTTAGAACAGGACCAGCTAACTCTGAGGTTTTAGCTAGGAAAAGTCTGATAGCTCACCAAGGCTGAGCTTACAATGGTAAAATGTATCCCTGTGGTTGAGACGTAGCTTATGTTCATTAGATTTACTATTAGATAACCTGTTCAAAGCCTTCCTTTTAGAATTATTTGGACTGAGGAACCAACATTTCAACCATTCATCTGGTTTTGCTTGATTTGGCATTTGAGTTTGAGTTGGATTTGACATAAAACTTGGTTTATGGTTTATCCTAACCCAGGAGTAAATGGAATTCAAACCTATGGTCACAAATATGTAAAAACTGGCAAAGGCACCGTTCTCTGTGATTTTTTGGATTAGTCATCCCAGCAAACTTGAGCTAAACCTTACATACTTGAAAGTAAAAAGTCACTGGGGTACTTATTTCAAGAGCTCTTCATTGCATCGCTTGGTTCAGAAAAACTGCAGCTAGGTTTCAATTGTACAACTGGAGTAATTACTTTAAAGTGCTTTTAATTCCTTTCAATCCCCCAGGATGTCTGCATGTATAATAAAGCTTAACTAGAATAATTTCTCTCCAAAGCATCAAAGTGTGGCACAGCTGACTCTCAATAGGGAATCGTTTGGAGCAGCCAAGTCAACATTCACCAGGATTCACAGAGTCAACACAGCTGCCAAACCAACACGGTCTGAGCCATCAATTTCAGCATCTGCTCCTTTTCGTTATGCTGTTAAGCACCGCAAGAGCCTAATTGGCTGACGTTTTGTTTCAGTTGCTAAAGATAACAGGATCAAATATTACTATTATTTCTTATTCGCCATTTCTAATCAAGAAAAATACAATAGAGGAGTCTCTGTGTGTGTACATGTGTGTGTGTGTGTGAGTTTCACACATGCATCCCCACACACACCCAGTACGGTGATGTCTGCGTAGGCTTCCTGAGGAGGATCTGTGTAGAGCTGGCACACGTAGCGCCCCTCGTCGGCGAGTGACACGTTGGACAGAGACACCCGGAGTTCGTTGTCGGAGAAATTCACCAGCTGGAACCGGCTGTCCTTGAGGGCTGAGGGGGATAAAAAGAGTGCAGGGACACAAACATAAGACAAGGGGGTGAGAAGGAAGAGGAAAAAAAGGGGGCTGGTGGTCAGAATGGGAGAGGATGTACGAAAACGAAGGAGACACTAAGAGAAAATTAGACATGGGGGGAGGAGGGGATGGGGAGTGGAGGGCAAGCGCTGCCCTTTTGTGGGCTTTCTCCTTAATTGAGTAAAAGAAAAGTGAGTTTCAAAATGATTCCAAGGAGTTGATTTATAAAGTACCTTTACAGTCCACAGAGCACTTGGAAAGAAAGGAAAGTGTGAAGAGTGCTCATGAAGACTCCTAACAAGCTAAGGACTCTTAAAATGGTTTGAGGCCGGTCATGGATGGATGCGTCAAACTCGCATATTCCACTGAAAGGAGAGGCATTCAAACATACATAATGAATCGAATAACAGGAGGGAGAAAGGCTTGGATTCCTGAACTCTAAAATCAAAAGTAGGCTGGAATCTGTGCACTAATGTGTGCATAGATTGGCAAAATATTCATTTACTATCATCAAAAGAAGGTTAAACATCTCATTCTGACTTTGCTCATTGCTTTTCATTTGGGCCAGCGCTCATTCCTGAGCCCTCTTTCGCATCAACATCCCTGGCTGATTTGATTGGGGGGCCTTTTGATGTTTTGACCTGCCTTCTTTATCAAGTCCTCTTTGCATCTGTCGAGTTAACGAACTCTATTCAGTTTAAAGCGCAGGGAATTCATTACTCCCATCCAGCTCAACACTTAGCATCACGATCATTACTCAAGGTCTCAGGGCAGTGTCAACATGAAACCTCATCCCCCAATATAATCTGAGAGCTCTTTGGAAGTCTCTCCTCAAAGGGAAACAATGATGCTGAAGCACTTTAAGAGTTGGAGTACCTGCTAGGGAGGGAAGCCCTTCACTTCTGAGATGCTGACTATACTGTTTCAGGACTGGGTGATTGCTCCCACAAGAGCCCAATGTCCATTGTTCAACATAATATGCAAATACAGCCATTCAAATGTCTATTATTTACATGTAATTTACCTTCTGTCAATTATTTTGTTTATAAAATGAGACACTAATAAACAAGGTCTTCCCCAATTCAAAGATACCTCATTAACATTGAACCTAATGATTTCCTCAAACCCAAAATCAGACTACTACCAAAACTACCTATACAAAAGACAAAATTATGACCTGTGTCTGACTGATTTGGCTTTTTTAAAATGAACTCTTAATGGTTGAGCAGCTGCTGTTATTGCACATTACATGTCCTCTTTATTCATGGTTTGGATTTTTCAAAAAATCCCTACATTTAAAATAGCAATTATGATGACTGGTTACCATGGTTAACCATGGTTGTTTAAGAAATGTAGTTTCAACATTGATCTGCTGGTTCTGATCTGAATAATCTGAACAGAACAGCTTGAAAGACATTGTGTCATTGGGTTTTGATTTTGATTATTAGACTCTGTAGCGTTTTCCAAAAAATGACTTGAAGCAGTCAAAAATGTCATCATTCATTTTATATGTGCGTGAATTCAACAGTGAAGCTTTTGCTGTTGAACTTTCAGCTGAAACCTGCTATAATGCAGCATTCTTCATTCCAAAATGATGACCATCATTGAAAGAATTGAAACCAGGCTGCCAGATAATTCAAACCTACAGGGATTTGATCGTGAAAGGCGGGTCTGTTGGAAGAGTATCACTTTACCATGAGACCTTTGTAAAGCGACGTCAAACATTTCAGCAGAAGAGATGCACTGAATAATTAATGGTCCCCTATTGAATCAACATCCAAAGGGGTCCACCTCCTGTGATACCAGCTCATTTTTCCCATTTCAGATGACAACTCTGCTAAATTGCATGTCGTTTGGCATGCATCTGGAGATATAAACGCCTAATCCCAGCAAAACTCACGCAGGTCTTACCTACAACATGATTCATCTTTATTTGCTGCACCAGAAATTGGTTTATATGGCCGTCACTGATACAGTAAAAGCTGTTATTATTCCGGTATATGTGTGTGTATCTGTTTTTGAGCCGGCCACTTTGTTTGTCGCTGCTGTTCTTGCAGCTCCTGGTGTGTCTCTATGTCACTGCTGTTTACCTCCTTGTATACAAAGCTCTGCCACTGTGTCAGCCTGCCTTGTTGACAGGTAACAATGCCACTGGCTGAGGGGGGTCCCCACAGAACCGGCAGTCCTTTAGGAACAGAGCCTAGAATAGCGCTGCCATGGGGTATACCAGACCCCATTACCAGAAACACAAATACGCAGCAGTGAGCCAATAAAACTTAATCCGTCTGTCAGAAAGTCTGACATACATTCACGTCTAATAGTAGATAAACAACAGTGTTTGTTTTCTGTTGTTGTATTGACTTTGGCAGAGAAAATTGCATGTTTTGCAGGAACACATGGAGCAGTTCGATAAACAATGAAGAGGAAAAGGTTTCCTCGCCTCATAGCAAGATTTCCTTAAAATAAAGTCTCACCATGATATCGACACTGATTAGTCATTGCTCCTCTTCATTGTTTGAGTTGATATTTTAACATAACCTGCATCTTGCATCATTTTGTACAAAATATGACAGTGATACTCCCCTGATGCAGCTGAAAGAATGAAGCACATGTCTTGCTTCCTACACTTTGTGAAGTAACAGCTGGGATGCAGTATAGACTGAAATGAAAGGTGTCTCGTTCACCTTGAATCTTGGCAACAATCCATGATATAAACAAAGTGAAAATGCAGAGACAAAAACTCGCTTTAGACTTGAAGTAGCCCATATGCTCATGCATAGTCATAATGTCCAATATTCTAATCTAAGAGATTATCGTAAAATCGAACAGTGACAAGGACAGAAAAGCATTCTCATTATGGAAGCTCTGTGAATTATCTCTTATTAATCTTGAAGCAATCTGAGCTTAATGGCTTGTGTAAAAGTGCCAGAGTCAAGGACAGATGGAATCATGTTTACAAAGAAAATCTAACGTAAAGCTTGAACTGATCTTGAAGTCATATCTGATACATTCACTGTCATTCCCAAAACAGCCATCTTTTTTTTTTTAGTTCATTTTCCGTGACTCAGCTAATCAATTAAGCAGCAACCTATGTTGGCTAAATTTATAATTGAGTGATAATGTTGAATTTGCTTAAAAAATGTTAAATTATTCTGCTGCTTGATTGTAGGTCCATCTCTTGTCTCTCATCTCTCATGTTATTACATTATAATTAGAGTGAGTATCGTTAAAAACCATACTTTGACAGTGTCAAACACCTCTATAATAAGCATTATTTGTATATTTTCTACAATGATAACAATTTTTTTATAGTTAATGTTACTTTTTGCTGCTGTCCTAGTTTACACATAGCTTAGTAATTTTTTGGTAGTTGTGTTTTTAAAAGAGGAGTAGAACTGTGAAGCAGTGTTTATTTTGGGCGGTCAACTTTCAAGGGAGTCTTAAACCAAAAGCCCTGAAGAAGCTGTTCACCTACTTTTATCTACCTTGAACCAAATGAAAGAAGTGGTACAAGTAAATGAAAAAGGTGAACAAACTTACATTACCACTGGGACAAACTATGAAACTAAAACATCTTTATTTAAAAAAAAAAGAAAATATTTTATGATTCTTGAAGGATTCTTCGCATGATTCTGAAAGCAAACCTGTGTAGGCAGCCAAATGGAAGAAAATTGGATTTGCAGTCATTTCATCCTGGCAGTTTGTTATAAAAAAATCTTCTTATTAATTGCAAATGAACCGTGACTGCTTTTTAAAACTTAAGCTTTAAAGCTTGTGGATGTGTCTCAGGTGTGAGCACGTACGTCGGACATCTCGGAAGTAGATGGTCTGTCTGTTGGGGTTGAGCAGCTGGATGACGGAGTCGTCGTTGTTCCTCACTCTGCAGCTAATGGTGGCCATTTCTCCCTCGATGACCGTCACGTTGTCAGTTGCCAGGTTCTGACTGTCGACTGCGCGACACAAACAGAAAAAGCAGACGGGGCAATGACATTTCAAACAGGACACAAGCATTCCTCACTGGATATTTAAGAGTCTATTAAATATTTAGATTTCTTACAACAGGGACTGCATGTCAACAAATGCGGTAAAGATATGAGAATAGTCTGTGTAGATTGTCTGTATGCAGCCATGTCTAAGCCTTTAATATGAGAGCCATGTGCGGTGTTTGTCACTATTGATCTCCACAGCTCAGAGTGGGCCCTGTGAGCCAGTGCCAGATGGGCTGTAAGCTCTGCTGCCCACGAAGATACAAAGAGAAGAGAGGGTAGGAAGTAAAAGAGACAAAGAACAAGTGTAAGAAAGTGGCAGGTAGTAGATATGGGTGGGGTGGAGAAGGTGAGGAAAAGAGGGGGAGTTAAACAGAGTGCAAGATAACGGGAGAAGGAGAGATAGATGAGCCAGGCTGGATGCTGTTTATGGTTAAGCTTTATCGGAGCTCTCCATCTGAGGTTCCATGTGACCAGTGTGTGCTCAGTGTGTTCAGTGGTTCTGTTCTGTATCTCCTGGAATACAAGCGTTTGAGTCACTCCGTACACTGGCATTGTTGCCTCTGACAGACTCTGGACCTTGTCATCGTAACTTACACCCCACTACAACCCCGACACGAAAAAGCCTGGCTTTGTTCCACCTGCCTTGACAGGGAAAGAAGGAAGGAATCAGCAGTCACCTTGTGCTATATTTATCTGGCAGGGTAAAAAAAAAAGAAAAAAAAGTGTAAAGTGAACATGTTTAATGCCTTAGAATCTCATCAGTAGAGGAACAACACTCTAAACCACAGCCTCCAAAAAAAACATCAAAAGCACATTTGCATGCCCGAGTTGTCAGACACCTCTATTGCATTCTGACATTTAAAAAGTGGAGAGAAAAAAACAGCCAGTGTTTATAGATAGATATAATGGGATCAGACAGCCAAACTAACATGATTCAAAATGAACTCTGTAAATGCAGGAAAGCAATAAGAAATTAACCTCCTGTGGAGAAAGGCTCCTCGGACCTGTCTGATGCAATGAACTGCCCATTTCATTCCACTCTGCCGGCAGGGTGCAGATTCGTGTCAAAACTAAGGTAAACACACAGACTGTCTGTGAAAAGAACACAGTGCATCCATTTAAAGGTTAATCTTAAGTCCATGGTGGACTTGGATGCACTTTATATTTACCACACGATAGTGTTTGAGACTCAAATAATCAAATAATGTTGAATTTTGGATCAGATTAAAGGTGATATTGGTTGATAGGTTTGATTTGATTTTCCATTAAACAAAACAACTGTGACTCACAAGTGAAGTGACATTGTTATTAAAAAGTTATGTTTGTTTTCCACTTACAGATTGTAATTGCTAACTTAATCTGAGGATCTTGATTAAAGACAAAAGAAATATCCGGTTTTCATCAACTATGTCAATTTTGGGATCAAAAGAAATTTTAAAGTAAAAAGATGACAGAAATGTACATAATTTATCCTTTCCTTTTATGTAAATTAGGACAGATGGATTTTTTTTGTTTCTGAATTGTGTTTCTACATTATTTGTACTTTGATTAATAATTAAGTTGAGAGCATTATTCTGCTCATGGAATATGAACCTTGATGAAAGCGTTTTCAATCATTCACTACAATTTTTTGGGTTAATTATTTAAAACCTTTCCACAATGAGCTACTTGGGACAGATCAAATATACTCTGTTGATTAATTATTGGTTGACGTAGTCAGCTCTCTTGTAATAAATCCAAATGAGAGAATCTGTGAAAAACATCTTGAGGTCGCATTTGTTGTGTTGTAGTAACACATAGATAAAACTGAATTGAATTGAATTGAATATGTTGTTCTGTGATATTATGGATGTGTCCAAACACATTTGTATTGATAGAAACACACCCAGTGTCGGGATGCATTCAGAATGGAGATTCTCCTGAAGCGCTGTGCAACTAGGGATGAGCAACTGAAATGAGACAGGCCGAGCTTTTTTCTTCCGTACAGTATGTTGTTAAAAAGTGCGGAATAACTTTGTGTGGATTTTTTTCTTTTGAGGATATGATATGCTGTGGAAAGTCAATAACTAGTAACTTTGTTGAGAGCCACTGAATTACTGTGAGGTCATTGAATAATTAAATGAACTGTTGTTTTCTTCTTATATTGGGGTAAAGGTGAGCTTCATAGAAGAATAACTCACAGTATATGAATGTTTATTTAAGTCAATGTTATTGAAAATGGAAATGTTTCAGTTGTTGTGATATCTACTTGGATTCCTCTCTATGTATAGTCTTATAATGCTATATTCATAACAATGTAGCATATGAGGGAAAAGCAATTTGGTGAGTTTGGATGTCTTTTTTTAATTTCATCATTTTAAAAGTAAAATATTTGGCAGTCAAAACAGCAACGCAGAGCCGCCTAAAAGCAAGGTTACCCTGCTCCCAATCTGTTGGACCGAGAGAAAGGGGAAAAGATAAATTCTCCATAAGGTTTAGCAGCCCCAAGCAAGGTTGGTCCCCCTCCAATATCCCAGCCTAGGCTCATCTCCAATTCAAAACACACATAAATGACGTTGCTGTGATTAGCAATCCCATCAAAGTGAAAACAGGCCACTTTGTGGAACATGGAGGGTTTTCGCAATCGAAGTAAACATTTTCAATTGCCTCGGCATCCTGGTCATGATTGGGTGCAAATGAGGAGAGGCAGTCATTAATTCTGGGTGCTGGGTGGGGATGGTGGGGGAGTGGGCAGAAGCAGAGCACAGATGACTGGCTGATAAATTCACACTCATTCCAGCAGCTGTCTGGGCGAGTAAAGTGCCTGTATCTCTACACATGACTGCCCTCCTGTTTCTGCATCACAACATACTGAATGAAACAGTCTGAGGGAAATACAGACCTTCAAAAAAGTCTGTGTTCTCTCACAGGGAATGTATAATCTCGCATGAAGGGGTTGGACATCGAGGCTCGGCTCATCATGCGTACTCAAAATGCAAAATGGCACCTGCCCCCCACCAATTTGAACAAAAGTTGAAGAAATCAGGAAATATTAGCCGACCAGCTCCCGTATCAAAAATTCAGCCAGGCACTTTTTGATTTAAGTTGGCTTTTTCTTTGAACTTTTCTGTCTTGTTTTCACATCAAAAGACATGAAAGAGGTAGCAAAAAGCAGGACAGCCAGCCCCCTATCCCTCTCTCTCAAGTCACCACTGTCGGCGGCAGCAGTCGTGTCCTTTCAAGGAACAACCAGACCATCATTAACAATAAAAGTTTCTTCCTGTCTTCTGATTCTCCCTTCTCTCTCTTTATCCTTCTCTGTCATTAAATCTTCACCCTAATGATGCAATGCTGTTATAAGGGTGCTCACAAGTTAGAAGGGTATAATTAGCCCCATCCCATTCCTCCTGGATGCTTTGCATTGGAAGGTTTGAAAAATGTAATACCCTCTAATTTAACTTAAAATGAACTCTTGCAGAGGCTCCGCATACCTGTTATTATGTTGCCTGACCACTACTAGCAAAGAAAGATTGTCATTCTGAGGTAATATTGTCAACAGATAAAATAATTTGGGATTTTAATTTTTCAGATTGCAAAGCAAATGAAAAAAGTGGGAACTTTTCTCTGTACTTCAAAGCATCCTTTCAGCTCACAGACCCTGACATTTTGATACAGACACTATTTGGCTGAAAAAGTGTCATTTTGAGAGTTGCTCACATTTTCAGGCTAAACTAAAGATCACTTTGAAAGGTTATCCAGCCTCGTAAATTAATGTGTGATCTGAGACTATTTACTGTATAGTTTTAATGAACCCTAATAAAGCGCCTCGATGGTTATTTAGTATTTTGGATCTCAAACAGGCAAACCCAGACGATGTAAGGGTTGTGTTGAGATAAGTCATTGGGTCACTCAACCCCCTAAAATGATCTTCTTGAATATAGATATAAGTAATTGGAAGAAAAAGGAGCTGCTTTGTCATTTTGACCAAAGAATTTCACAGATACATCAATAGGCATTTGGAAATAATGGAAGTTAGCTAGATAAAGACAAAATGTCTCCTTTAATCATGCTAAATCCTTTTGCATTATGTCAACTTCTTTTGAAGAAGATGTTTTTTTATATCAGGAACCTTTTAGTAGTTGCCATTGGATTAATGTTCTTGCATTGCTTTTACTGTTTGTAGCCAAATATTATTTGTTGCGTTATTAACTTTTCACGTTCTCACCTAAATTCGTCATCAGCATATGGGAGACAAATAAAAACGGAGTGCCTCCCTTAAAGAGACGGAAATCACAAACGGAAATAATAGTCTCAGTATACTCCCAGATAAAAGTCTGTGAAGTGGCAGTAATAATTTTAGCGTTTAGCTTTACAGATAATATGACTCAATCACAGTAATTACACAACTAATTGAAAGGAAAATTAAGGGTTTGTATCCTTTTGAAGCTAAATATCAGAGGAAGAAGGAAATAGACTTCCACTCACAAGTTTTCCAAATGAAGACAAATGTCCTAAATACTTCATCTAACTGTATTTGAGAAGAGTCAGGAAAGTCAATATTACTGTGTAGAGCTCAGATTCAAAAAGCTTGTGATTTTGCGTGTCTTGGTTTTGTTACATGTAATGTTTCAGCATCAAGCTGTTCTTTCTCTTACATGTTGGGTTCATATTCAGATCAAAATGACCTGTAATTGGTGAAATTTTGTTCTGTCATAGTGGAGAAGAAGAGCAGCTTATTAGGTTTGGCACAAAGCCATTGATTTTTACTTTTTCGCTAAAATGGGTCAGACTGTGTACTTCTCTCCTCAGGTCCTGAATCTATGAGCTATTGGGGTAAAATTTCAGCCTTTCCAAAACCAATAACTTTAACTTATTCCCTCCCAAGCATACTAATATTTCTGAGGAAGTACTCATCAAGTAATGGTCAGTCTTGTTGCTGAAACATCATCAATAATAGATCTTCAAGGCCTAATTTTAAAAAGAAATTGCCATGAAGTATCAAAGGGCACTACTACACCTGTTTTCATAACGGCTGTTTTTGTG